AGTCTGCAACCCAGAGGTGTGGAGCTTCCCTCCCTGGCTCCTGATCTGAGTTCTTCAGCTCTGTCTCAGCTGCTCTGTGAGTAAATGAAGCTTCTCTCTATGCTCCCCAGAGCTCTTCTTCCAAGCATTCTTTCTCCCTTCCTCAACAACTCCTCCATCTCCATTCCTGCTGTCCTCTCCCCACCTGCACAGCTCTCCTGGTAGCTGCTCCAGATCTTGCAACTACCAATATTCCTCCTCAGCACCCAACCTGAGCTGTTTTTTGCCACGTGCCAAGGGCACAAGGAGCAGTGGAAGCACCAATATTTCACAGAATGGTTTGGGTTGAAAAGTGCTTTTAAATCTCATTTAGTCCAACCCCCCTGCAATGCACATCTTCAACTACATCAGGTTGCTCAGAGGCTGGTCCAACCTGACTTTGAATATTTTTAGCAATGGGGCATCTACCATGTCTCTTGGCAACCTGATCCTGTGCCTCAGCACACTCACCACTAAAAAACATTTTCTTTATATCCAGTCTGAGGAGAGGAATGGGGCAGGTGCATGTCTGTGGGAGATCAGTGAGGTGGGAATGCCAGCATTCAGAAGCAGCACAGTTATCTACTGCAGAAAAGCCCAGGACAACCAGGGCAGCTGAGGCAAGGGTGTCCCATGTTCTTGCTTGGTCTGTGCTCGAGGTAGCACAAAACTCCCTCGGAGGACAGCCTGTAGTGGGAATGACGGGCACCCCATGGTGTGCGGACACATCACAGCCTGCCACACGGGTGGCAGCTGCTAATATTCTCAAGGGCAGCATGACAGCAGGGGCAGCCTACAAAAGCATGAAGGCTGTGGGACTGATAGAAAGACCTCCATCCCTCCAAGGCACGGCCCTGAAGAACACAGCTAAGACACTTTTGCTAATGCCCTTGCCAGACATGTTGGTAAGAGCTGTTTGGCAGTTGGGAAGGAAAAGGTCTTCACGTCTTGTCTTAACACCCTTTGGGTCCTATCCGTAGTTTGCATTTTTCCTCCTTTCCAGTGGCAAGCACAGTAGCTGCTGTGAAACATGATGAGTCATAGCTGCAGGCTGCCAGGGAAAGGCAAGGTAAAGGGAAAGCAGGGACAGATGAGAGAGGAGGAAAAGCTGCTGTCACTAACCAGTCTCCAAGTCATTGTTAGGTAGCTACCAATGGCTTCTCTGCAGCACCATGTGCATGTATTTTCAGCTTCCCCTGGCTAAATCTATGGCATGAGGAGGAATTTGAGAACAGCCACGTTATGTTACACATCTGCCTGAAAGCAGCATGAGAGGCACTGTGCTCTTCTGACCAGAAAATGCAGTCAGAACTGCCTCCTGTGAGAGTGGGGAGGTGGGAAGAGTTGGGTGCCTTCTCAGGCAGATAATCTATGAGGAAAGCAGAAATTTGGGAAGGCCAAGAGGAACATGACTGGATCAAGATATGCTGAAACTGCCTTTACTGTTGTCTTTCATGAAAATTGGCAGCAATCACCCACCCTGGCTGCTCTGCTTTGCCATATGTCCCATCTCTAGTGGCACCACAATTATGCTGGGAAAAAATCTTCCTGTGTAAAACATTTCAAACACAAATATAGAAGGATAGATGTCCTTTAGGTGACTGATTTGGTTCATGCCTAATGCATTTTTCATGCAGTAATTAGAATATAAATATGATCGTGTCAGACACAGGGCGTGTATTCCAATAGTGTCAAGTACAGAATGCCTCACAAGCTGTGAATCTAAGCACCTACTTAGATCCCCAGTGCTGATTTAGAGCAAGACCAGGTGTTTCTTGGGCTGATACTCAATTGTGTGTGGTTTTCTCGTCTTAGGAAACACATCCACTGTGTCATAAGTGTACCTGCTCTGTGGCAGAGCTGATGCTGTTTACAGCCTTTAGGGAAGAAACCAAGACAGAGGGATATACCTCACAGCACAGCAGCACAAGGACAGCTTACTGGTGCTTCAGAACAGTTCAGCTGAAGAGATTGGTCTGCTTAATGCAGGCAAAAAACTGATTTAAGTTTTTCAGTCTAACACATATCAGTCTCAAAACTAATCTCATTTAACCTGAACTTCTACTTTGCCAGAGAGATAATTCTGTGCTGGATTGTGCCTTGCTTCTGATTCAAGATATAAATTTTTTCCCATCAGAGAATTTCATTTTCAATTAATTGCATTTCTTGATCAAAACCAAAAGCAAAACACTGTCACTTAAAAATGTCCAGCCAATTCTACACAGAAATCTGCTCTGAGGCCTGCTTATCTCAGTGTTTCTAAGAGAGCTGACAGTTGCTGAAATATAGGCACTAGGATTGCTAGTGTTGACAAGGCTTTAAAGCATCATCACACTGAGTAGCCATTAGAGGTTATATTTCATTGGAAGTAATGTAATTCAATTATCATCACTCTTTAGTATGTCCCATCTCTGGAGGCTGACAATAAGCTGTATCATCCATCAGATTTTAACCTGAAGATTTGCATTCTAGCCTCAGAGACTGCCAGTTCTCCATTATGAATGGTTTCATGTTTTTAGTGTCATTTCTTAGGAAAAAGAGGTTATCCAATTATACTGTACATCCATTTTCCTGCTCGTCTCTCCTTAGCTTGTCAACCAGTTTCAATCAGGAGGCAAAGGTCTTCAAGAAAATTAAGTTCCTATCAGTTTTGCAACCCTATCAGAGGCAGGGTAAAGGAGAGAAATTATTTGCACATCCCACTTGGAAGTGGTGAGCTATGTAATCCCTGCAAACTGAAAGTCTGGTGAGCATGGACAGCTAAAACTGTCTCTTTCTCCATACAAGAAACACAAAAGGCTGAGGAATTTGTGCTACTTCAGGGACAGAATGTCAGAGAGACCCATGCCTTGTACTGTGAGACGCTACTCCTTAGGAAAGCAGGCTCCTTTAGAACTGCTGTTCATGGAACAAATATTTTATAAATGCAGGGAGCTTACCAATTTACAAAGAATTTTTTGTGCATATTTCTTCAGAAAAGAATGTCTTGACCAATTTACTCTGACAGCCAAACATATTGCAAATACAAAATATAAATTGCACAGGAAAGTGATGTAACATTTGCTTTCCCAAGTCTATGCATTTAAGCTCTATCAATAACCACACTTCCTGTCTCAGAATATCTGAAATGCAGAGTAACTGATTCACTCTGTTTATATGTTGAAACAATTACTCTTACTGATGATTATCAACATTACTGATTCATATTATTGTTGTTGTTCTGCTCTTTTGCTGCCTAACTGAACCTGATGTACTCATGTACTTTGCTAGTTCTTTATCACATTCATCAGCTGCACAAGGATTATGACTTATGACAACTTGCTCCTCACAGGCAACTGGTTTACATCTGTCATTGCATCCATTCCTTTTCTCACTCCCTCTCCATCCTTCCAAACTTTACCTCCTCCATATTGACATTTATGATAAGTCTTTGGCCTTTCCCACTCACTGGCTCTTACCATCTCTGTATCTCCTCTTCTCCCATGTCCACTTATTCTCCGTGGAGCTTATTCTCTCATGTCCACTTATTCTCTTCTTATGAGCCCTGCCCCTCATTTTACCCTCTTTTTCTGCCTCCCACATATACTGCCATTATCTGTATCTCCCTGCTTCCTCACGTAGCTTGCTCTTTGTTCAGAAGATAATCCTCTTCACCTCTCTCACACAAAATTTTGCTAGAAAGAGATCAGTGAACATGGACACATTTATGGAAACACTTCTGCTGGACTTTCCTGGTTTCACTTGCTCACATTTCTGCGTGGATAATATACATGGAAGCTGGACTTCCCTCTTACCTCTTCTGTTTTCACCTGCCCACTCAAAACCATCAACTCATGTTTACTCTCACTGCCATCCCCACCCTTTTCCCTGTTACCGCTACTCCCCTGTGACACAGGTGTCTTCAATTACATTCAAAGCCCTTCTCTATGACTTTAACTTCTTTTTGAAGGTTTCTCTTCAACATTTACACTATCAATGGACAATTGTAATCTTCTCTCCTTCTAATGAAGCCCTGTGAATGCACAACTTCATTTTGTTTCAGATATTCACTTTCATTTGATATTTGTTTACCCTTCAAACCTGTCATCCTCTTCCTCAAATACAACTGCTCCTCTTGTCCTTGTAAGCTTTGGAGGTTGATATTTTATTGCTAAAAGAGCTTGTCTTCTACCATCTGGGGAATTATCTGCCAAATTTCAGATGAACCTACCTACAATCTACCCAGGGTATGAAGCCGGTTGTACTTCAGATGCCTCCAATAGTCCCAGGTAAGAGCCACGTCACACAGACACATGCACACATACACATATTCTCTCTCTCTGCTCTGCTGGAAGACAGCCCATGTTGCCAAGAACAGTCACCCATCAGCTGCAGGTAGGCTGGCAAACTCCCACATCTGAAATATGAAGTTTTAGTCCTCCCTCACACCCGTTACTCACTCCTACTGCCATCCCTCAGGGAGCACCAGCGAAACTTTCAGGACAAGACCACCAAGCCTCTTGCCCTCATTCCTATACTTTTTATAACTTCTGTCACACTCTTGTTTCTCATTCTCTCATCCACATATGCCACCCTTTGCCTCCCCCTCTGCCTTATTTTGTCAATTCCTAGAAAGCTCTCTACCTACACACAAAAGGAATCCACTTTGTCTGGATTTAGGTTTCCACTGACAGGAGACATTTACAAATCTTATAGTACGTCCTTTAGTCTTCAGTGACCAGCTCTGGCCATCAGTCTCTATTGTTTGTATCTAAATTGCCATACATCTGCATTATTACTCATTCCTGATTTTTTCACCTTTTCCCTCTCCCACATTCATTATGTCACCCACAGGGTCTTGTTTTGAATTAGACTGCAAGATATTCAGAGCAGAAAGAGTGCTCATACAGCACACACACATAGTGCAAAGGGAGCTTGTAAGAGCTACCATTTCCCCCACAGAATGTAAGGATCATAACTTCCCGAGGCCAGCAGAAACTCACCGAGCCATACAGTTCTCCTTTCTCATTCATTCCAAGGTAAAGTCCACTGTCGACTCCTCGGATACTGACCAAGCCCACTGCTATACTGATAAATTCCAGTATACCTATGAAATGAAGGAAAAAACAAACAATGTATGTATTGTTTCCATTGAAATATTTTTCTTTTTTTCCAGCTATGACTTATCCCTGAATGTCAAGCAGCTATTTTCAAGGCTTTTTTCCCATTTTCTGAGTTGTTTGGAAGAAGATGGGGAAACAAAATTAATATACAACACTTCACTTTGGGTCTTTGTTAGAATGATGCATCGCCGACAGCATTAATGTATCAAATTAAAAGTTTGCTCTCAATCTTTCTCATCATTCCTAAACACGTATATTAAGCTCAGTTTATTCTGATTTGCATAGCAGATAATACATTCAGAGAAAAAATTTTTTAGATTGCCAAAATTAGCAGTAATGAAGAACCTATGAAACTTGTCTTGCAAAATAAATTCTGAAAAAATACATTTTCATCAGAATTGTGAAATAAAGCAATATTACACATGGAATCAAAAGATCTCCCTTCAGACATCAATGAATCAGAAATACAGGGAAAGATTTACTCACAGGATGATCTCCAGAGGCTTGAGAAATGAAAATCCTTAGTATAGTCCAGTGTCATGCATTTCTGTTTAGATAGTAACCATTCTCTCTGGTGTGTTATTATTTACTCATCTAAAATTCAGACATTAAAACATCCTACACCTAAGTATAATAGTTGTGTACATGATTAAGTTTTCCCATGCAAATAACAGCAAGCTTACACAGACATTTGTTCACTTAGAAATAAGAATACTTTGCAGAGAAGCATTGCTTTTGCAAATCTCCAAGGTTCAGCATCCATGTGCACAGTACAAGTTTCTGTATCAAGAATTGGCTCATCTGGTTCTGAGGATTTGGGTATTTTCTGGCAGCCTTCCCTGGAAATTGCTTACCTCTTCAACGAGGATGCTACTGGTTAAATCTGACATAAGCCTAGGAATCTTGTGTAAAAAATGGAAATTTCTTCCTATTTGGGAGTACTCATCTAAGACTGTAATGATCTCACAGGAAGTTATCCAGCAACATTCAGAAGCATGCTGCTTGTTACGCTACATTCTGAGTCACAAAAAAAGGTGTGTCCTGCACAGAGTAGCATTTTCAATATAGTATGTGAATTTTCATGTCTAAGCACACTGCATAACTATTTTTTAAAGCTTATTGGTAATTATATGTACATGAAATAATGAAATAACAGTATAATGTGTTTTGAGCCTCATGTGGCCAATAAAAAACCACTTTCGTGGCTTTTTTCAACAATTAATTTGGCATCTCCCACAAAATAGTTGTGCACTAATCAATAGCAGGCATGAATTGCAGAGATCTAACATAGCACAAGTTGAAGCCAATAGGGAAAAGTTATAGCCAAGCTAATGTAAAGATGAAAAATATTCCCTGTAAGGGAGTATTGATCATTACCTTATATATTATTCAGCACTACAAACACCACAGTATTATTGTTTTGATAACCCTTTTTTATGGCCTGGGCATTTTAAATTATTCTCTACATATGCACAAATAAAAAATACTTGGAGGAAATATTTTGCATCTATGTAGTTATTTAAGTAATATAAAGTGGCAGCATGCTGTTTATCCAGTATACGTAGTATCTCAGATATAATTGATCCATTGAAAGAATTTTAAAATTCCCATTATATCTGGACATGCAATACTTTCAGATTTCTTAGTAAGGCTTTTTCTCTAAAGCTTTTACCAAAATATCATATTACTTGATCCATGTTACCAAGCAATTTTAACTGAGTTTAAATCTTACATTAAGTGTGTATTAGACACTACTATAGCTAAGTTACTGAGTCTGGCATTTTTTATATCAGTCCAAATGTAGTCTTCAATTGCTGTCATCATTTCAAATATTTGGATGCATGCTGCTTAGTGCATCAAAAGAACAAAAAAGGCCCTGTCACGTCCTATCGTAAGTGCAGAAAATTAATTTAAGGTTCTTGGCAAAGAGCATGCACATATTTGAGATCAGAATAGAGACTTCTTCATTTTAAATACTCAAAAGCCTACTCACAGCAAGTTTTATGTGCCATATTAAGTCCTTCAGGAGATTATCTGGGGCCAAGCATCCAGTATTACAGAAGTCTTGTCAGCTTAAGGAATGCATTTGTCCCACAGTTCTGTGCATATTTTCACTGTATAGAGTCTATAATATACAGATAGTACTTAGGACCTGAACTAGATATTAAAATAGACAATCCTCTTCAAAATGAGGCTGTATCAAATAAAAATCAGGGCAACTCCAAACTTTGAAAGCTAGGGCCCTATTTATAGCTAAAAATGTAGAAAGGAAGAGAAGTAGAGAAGAAATAACTCAGTACATGGGACGCTGAATTTCTTCTCACTGCATTGAACTGGTTTTATTAAGGAAAATGCTCAAAGACCCATTTCTTCACAAGGATAGGAAGAAAGTTTCAGGGAAGCTATTTATTCCCTGCATGTCCACATCAGCCCTTCACACACCTTCTTCTACAAAATCCAACTCAGACCATGCTGGATGGTGCACCAGGACACCAGCGTGACATAAGTGCTGGTTCTGCTCTCCTGACATGCTCACAGGTGAGAGGAGGTGTGTTGTTTACTAAAATGAAATTTTCATTTTTTATCTGTCTTAGCTCTTGTGAAGAGCAAGCCTACAGAAGCATCTTCCTTTAGCTTTTGGGCAATGAACATCTCTATAACCGCACAGTTTTATGTTTTTACTGGTTTGCCCTTTTCCCATTTTTGTCTCTGGCTACACGTTGGCTTTCTTTGTATCAATGAAGTGGAGCAGTTTAGCTCTGTCTGCAACAGACCATCTATGACAACGAAGACGGTGAGCAAGTATCTCTGTCAGCCACCTCTTTGTACGGCTTCCAGGGGAAGCGGAGCGCAGGGGGAGCGGTGGGGGACCCTCCGGACTGTCCTCTCCCCAGGCTGCCTCGGAGAGCAGCGGGGCGAGGGAAGCGGAGCCTTTCGTGTCTAAGAAGCCGCCGGGATGTCAGCCCAGTGATGGGCCGAGGGAAGGGGCTTCCCCTGCGCCCCCCGGCGCCTCCCTCACGGCCTCTCGCCTGCCGGTCGCGGCTGCGGTGCGGGGCTGCGCGGAGACACGCGGGGCAGAGCGCTCCGCCGGGATGCGTCCCGCCTGTCGCAGCTGTCACCACCCCGCCCGCTCCCCCACATGATGCCAATTAAAAGATGGGAGCGCAGACAGACACAGCACCCCCAGGCAGCAGGGCCCTGCTTCGGTTTCAGGCTTTCGCAGCGCCCTTGCCTGCCCCCCCTCGTCCCCTCCCCTCTGCAACGCTCAATAGCGGAGGAGACTGTCGGGCCTGCTCGGCGCCTTTCCCTCCGCCTAAAACCTGGCCCACGATTCCCAGTCCCGGGGGCCAGAGCCTTAGCCGCATGCATCACCTTCCCCCCGCCCCACCCCGGCCTGCTGGCTCTCCCCAGAGACAGCACGGGGCGGGGACAGGCCCGCCCACCCGCATCCAGCAGCAGAGGGGCGGGCAGCCGCAGGGACCCCCGTCCGGAGCCGCCCCCGCGCCCTCCCGGCGCTGAGCCCGCCCGGCCAGCCCAGCGCCGGAGCAGGCAGGGCGGGCGGGGAGGCGGGAGGGCGGGCGGCTGCGCGGCTCCCGCAGATGATGAACGCAGCGGTTCCTTGTAGCAGCAGGTCCCGGGGAGCGGAGGTCACCTGCTGACAAGCTTCTTTTTTATTCCTTTTCCTGCATGCTCCTATTTTTTTAATGCTGTGCATGCAGTACTTGTGCTGACGCACAGAGACACGCCTCTCCGCTGTTAAAGAGTTCCTGAATTTACAATGACTCTACTGTCTAGCCAATGCCCTACGCTAAAGGAGACTGCATCAAAAAAATTTCTTTTGTGACCCGGGAGAGATAAGGCTTTGATCATCTGAGATCACATTACGGGGGGGACCCAGCCGAGTTCTCTCGGGGAGCTTTTCTTTTAGAGATGGACATCTTGCTGCAGGAATTGCGAAATGCCAGGGCTCCCAGAACCGGGCGAGTATAGACACACAATATGGCTCGGTTCATTGTATGCAGTAGGCACACATCCAACATAGCATCACAAAAGAATTACTCTTATCTGATGTCTCTCCAGAGGTGTGTGCGGGGAGTGGGATTCCCACAGGGCAGAGCCCAGAGAGGAGTTTACGCGCAGCCCCCGGGGTTTTCTCTTTGTCCTCCTTATTCCTAGGGAAAAACTTCCTTCTGACGCGTACCCCCGCATCCACACACGCGCATGCAGGTTGCCCGCACACGCTCGCAGGAAACCATGTGAGCCCGCTCTCCCCAGGGCAGCTCCCGAAGTTGGGATGCAGACCTCCCCAGGATCATCAGAAGACTTCAAAATCACCAAAACTCAAATAGCACCAGCTATTCTGTGACCTTCCGGCAAACGCAACAGCAATGTCACGGCACGGATACAAAAGTACCGAAACCCCTTCCCTCCCGCAAAGAAGCTGGGAGCCCCACGGGTTTGCCGTGCCCGGTCTTTCCAACCGCGGAGTGAGCAGGGGCATCACCCGCGCGCTACATGGGGAAAAGAGTTACCACCGAGGCGCGTCCCGATGGGGGGAAGAGGGAGATCAAACCGACAAGGACAAAAAAGAAAAAAAAAAAAAATCTATTTAAAGCCAAGGCGCTGCAAGGGGTGGAAGAACTGCCCCTCGGAATTGTCAGCTTCCTACAACTGCGGCTGGAAAGCCATTTTTAAAAATAGACGCCACGAATAATGTGGTCACCGCCGCCTTGCGAAGGGAACAGCTGGCGGCCCTCCTCCGGGGGCGGCGGGGCCCCGCGGGCGGCCGCCCCCCGCCGCCCCGGCTGCCGGTGCGCGCAGCGCCCTACACCTGCTGCGGCCCCGCTCCGCGCCTCCCCCGCCGGCCCCGCGCAGCGCCGCGCCCGCACCGCAGCGGGCAAGGGGAACCTGCGGCGGTGGCTCAGCAGCTACGCGCGGCGTCTGCCCGTGCCAAGGAAAACGCCTAGCTGCAACACCCACCCGCTCCTCACCCGCCCCATTCCCCTCACTACGCGTCTGCCTTAAACACTTTCCGCACTTTTTCTCGCCAGTAAGCGTGGATGTTGCGCCCCCGGGAGAGCCGCGACGCTGCCCCCACCCCGCACCCAGCCCCGGAGACCGCGGGCGGGCGGCGTAGGAGGGAGGAAGAGCCTGTAAGAAGCGTGAGAGTGTCAGGGAGCAGTGGATGGAGGAGGATGGAGGATGAACCTGCGACCATGCGAGAGCCTCAGTCCTCTCCTCCCCCGTCCCTCCCTCCCCGCTTCTCTTATGAGCCCTTTGGAGACCATCTCCTACAACACCGGCATTATCTAAATAGCTTCACAAAGCAATAAAATGCAGCTTAGATATCGTTCAACATCTGGCATTAAAATACAAAGAGAGAAAAAAAATCAACACAGGACTTTGTTTTTACGACCGAATTTAAGTGTTGTCAGGTTGGTTCACTCACAAGTTAACTCCTTCCAATAGGGAAGCGTGGTGAGCTAACCTGGCATATTTTCCGCACCCCTCCTTGAAAAAAACCCCAAAGTACCAGCTCAGCCAGGCTGTTTTAGTCACTTTCATACATTCAATCTGCCGGGCCTTTAACAGACCCCCTGGCAGCCGAGAAGCTCCAGGCTCACTGGACTCGCGCGTGCATGTGCATGTGTGTGTGCATGCACAGGCTCTCCGGAGCGGCCGCGGCCAGCAGCCCTCCAGCCCTCGCTGCTGAGTCACAAATAGTGTCCCCTGGAAAGGAAACCCAGGGAATGCTCTTTTCAAATTCTCTGCCAGCCTGACACGCCACACAGCTCGAGAAAGGCAGGTTTTGGCGCAGGATTCCCGGCTGGTTCCGGACCCCACCTGCGCTCCCTCTTTCCAGGGGCGCCTGTCACCGGCACTGCCGCACGGCTGCGGGTGCGGGCTCGGGCGGGCGGAGAGCCTGGTGCGGGTCGGCGTCCGCTGCCGCGCACTCCTCGGCGAGCAGCGAACCAGACAGGGTGTGCAATTCGGGAAGTTACTAGGGCAGGTAATCGGCAGAGAAAACGAAAGAAAAGCCCTCGTCAATTTGCGTATAGGACGAGAGCCACTCCCTCCAGGAAACTCGGTGAATTTTAAATTGTAGTGGTTAATGATTAAAAACCCTTTAAACTGCGAAATCAAATCATTGAGCAGAAACGTCCCGAGCAAAAATTCCACCACCACCACCTCCCAGTACGCGTCTGCTCTTAAGCAGAACTTGGGGCTACACAAACATCGCTACCGAACACCCGGCAAGGGTTCCTGCTCCGCCGCGGTGGTGCCGCTCGTGTACATCTGCACCCCCGGACACATTCATTTTTCCCCTCGGCGGATCAGCCATCAACACAAATCACCCTTCCCGCCCGCCTCGCACCCCCCACCGTCCCCCCGCCCGCAGTTCTGCCCCATTATTTCATCACATGATCACTAAAGGGTTAAGGAAAATACCTACCAAATCTGCTGTGGTCTTGCCTGGTTCCCTGGATAGTACCATTGGGGAAGATTTCTAAATGAAATCCAGTCCTGCAGTATAGCTGCCTCCGCCTGAGGATCCCCTTTAAATGGTCCAAGTCCGTGACCGCAGGCCCCCTGGGTAGCCCACCTGCCTCAGACTGACCCAGGTGGTCACTTAACAAAACCGGACTATCCACCGGCAAAACGGGCACATTCCCAAAGGGTACTGCATCCTGCACACCGAAATAGTTCCCAACTTCACCTAAGGGAGCCATCAGAAGATTCTGCTTTTAGAGAATGAGAATAAACAATAATGATGGTGCCAAACCCAGGAGATATAAGATTAGGTATATTCCACTCCTCTCCCCTCCCTAGCGCAGTTACAGAGAAAATGTTCTTTCTTCAATCCATTAAATGCATAAATAAAAGTAATATTCTGTTTTGACTGGTACAGGTTCAAGGTCAAACCAGTTAGTCTAAGAAACCACCACTTTATACTCACACACTGACATATTTATAAACATATAGATGTGTATATCTATATAAATGCATATATCCCCAGCTCTTAGCAAGCAATAAGGTCTTCAGCCCATCCAACTGTAATAAAGAAAAAAATCCGTAGTTTCTCCATTTGGTTTAAGATAAGAATGACCATAGCAACTTAAATACCTAGGCGTTATAGGGATTTTTTTTTAAGATGCACAGGCTACGTCAGGATTTATGGATTCTGACTCCAGAAAGGCATGCGCTGTTTTTACTCTATAACAGACTGCATACATCAGCATGAATCCTGCAAAGGGGGAGGGGGGAAATCTCACGTTGTTGGCTGAGATAAATCCAAAAAAAAAAAAAAAAGAAAAAAGAAAAAGGAAAAAAAAAACTTTTGACGTCCAAATCTATTATCCAGAATTCTCAGGAGGCTCAGCAGATGTCCACTGGTTTAGGATTATTGACGATCCACAAGCAAAGCAGCAACATACAAGTGCTTGTGTCTTTCTTGGCTGGCTCGAAACAGGTGTTGCTTCTGCAGGGCTCCCTGTGAAATGTTGTACTCCAGCACTGAGCTGCAGCTCTTGACTGTGGATCTCCATCCAGCACGCAGAGTGGCGCAGGAAGAGGCATTGGGCTGGGTTTAAGGTAGTCCTGATTGCTGCTGGAAGGATTCTCCGAGGTCCTAGCGCTCAGCCCTACCTGCTGCAATACCGAGCCGCTTCCAGCGCTCGGCACGGCGCGGAGCGGCTCTTGCCGCTCTGCGGCAGCGCGGCGCTCGCCGGCAAATAAATAAATAAGTGGGCGAAACTTTGGGGGAGGAATAAAGCGACGCGATGCTAAATATACCGCGCCCGCCCGCTGCGGGAAGCGGGCTCCTCGGGAGATGCCCGCATAGCCCGAGTCCCCGCTGACATTGGCGGGGGGAGCGGGGCGGGCAGCGCCCTGCCCGCCCAGCCGGAGCTCGGCCCGGGGCCCGGCCCCGCCGCAGGGGAGGCGGAGGCGAGCCCGCCCCGCACCGCTCCGCAGCCCGGCCCCGGCCCGCTCTGCCGCAGGTAACCGGGCTGCCGCTGTCCCAAGCGGGGTTCAAACTCAGCTCCGGCGGGCAAACCGGCGGGGCGCGGGAAGTTCGGGAGCTGGGGCGGGTGGTGGGGTTCCGTATTGCCCACGCCGCAGTTCTCCACTCTGGCCTCCCGCCCCGGCAGTCCGCAGCCCTCCCGCTCTGCCCCTGCGCTACCGGGGGCACTTTCGGGGATGCTGCTGCCGGTGCGGGTAGCGCCGGGGCCCTGCCACCGCCCGGGACGCCCCGCGGGACGCCCGTGGCTCCTCGCTCGGCCCCGGTTTGTAAGAGCGCGGTGGAGGGAAGGGAGAAGCGAGCAGGAGGTGGTATGGGGGAGATAGGGGTGCAGTGCGAAATACGTGTTCTCTTTGCACCCAACCCCTCCCCCGCCCCCCAAAATGAAGTTATTTGAAACTGTCGGGAGGGACTCTGCAAGCAGAGAGGTTTCTGTTTCTTCTTATGATGCCCAGAATTGGTGTTATTGTGGTTTTGCCCTTCGAAAAGAGCTGTGTGAATCAGCAAAGGGACAGAAGGTCTCCTGCACTTGCAAAAGCGTTCTTGAGCAGAGCTCAAGGACTGGGCACGATGCAGAGCCTTGCACGAGGGAGAGGACACTCTGGCAGCCCCTTGAATTGAGCACAAAACCTAAAGACAGGCTCTTTTGGGAATAGTGGTGGGAGAGAGAGGTAGGGAGAAAAGGAGGAGAAACATATATTGGGGGCTGGGGGAAGAGATTGCATAGTGTGAATGATGATGTGCACCTCTGAGGTAGCGAGGTCTGGGAAGGTCATTGGTGGAGCCTGCAAAGAGAACTCTAGAGGAGGAGAATTTTGCAAGGAGGTGAATTAAAAATAATCGATTCTGCATGTCCTGCTCAATGGGCATGCGGTGGAGGGGGTGGCTCTCGTTGCCTTGCCCATCATAAAAGCCAGCACTCCAGCTCTGGCTGGTGCAGCTTTCCTGCATCCCTCTACTTGCCAATGTGACTAAACACAAAAGGAGGGAGAGAGACTACTTTCCATGTCTAGCAGGAAAACTGCAGCAGGGAAAAGCTGTGTCCTGAATCCACACGGACCTTTAGGGAACTGACTCACGCCAGTGGTGCAGAAGCCACCCCCCTTTTTATTTGACTCTAACAGTCTTTATTGCAATTTGAAGGACAGGATGCAGAAGCTTCAGAGCAGGGTCATATCACTCTAGTTCTGTACAAACCTACAAAAAGAAAGAGTTGTTCCAGGTCAGCCCATGCATTTCAATATGCAGGAACAGAAAAAAAACCCCAACACCAAAGCAGTAAAGTCCTTGCACTCCACAAATATTTCTGAAGTGTTTAGCTTTTTTTTTTTTTTTTTTTTTTTAAGCATTTAAGGACACTGCTCTCACACACTGGTTATATCAGCATGAACAACTGCAGAATGACTTGGGAAAAACTGCAGAACTCACCATGTCAAAAATCATCATTCTTTATCAAGTGGATCATGGCAGTATCCAGAGGCCCCGTTCAGGGCTCACAGTTCCATTGTGTCGGATACTGTAGACACATGTAATAAGAGAGATGGTCTATGCCCAAAGAGCTTATGATCTTAACCCATGATGAAAGACAACAGGTGTATAATACAAACCCATGGGGGAAGGATAAGGGAAAAACAGCCTTGAGAATAAAAAGCAACAGGCCCAGCCAGTGACAAGTGTTTGGTGTCAGAAGGAAGTTTTAAGGAGATTTGAAGGAGAACAATAAAGGAGCTTTACGGTTATTAATAGGGAGATTTTTCCATGCATAATGGCTAACTTGGAAGAGAACATAAAATTGCTTGTTAAAAAGTTGGACGGTGCAAAAGTAAAGGTTTGTGCCACTGGTAAAGCAGAAGGGGAATATTGCCAAGTGACCATAAGGGCCTGGTATCTGGTGTGCTCTCAGGAAAGAGGTTCCCAGCTCCTTTCTAGTGCTTTAAATTTACATTTCTAGTCCCAGTGAAGAGTATTATATGTTTGGTTTTTTTTCTTTATTCCAGGCTTCAGTATTTTCTATCTTGTACTTCACATCAGCTTACCTTACAAAAAATATCTTAAGGTAAAGAATAAAGTATTGGTGTAGTTGCCTTTTTTTTTTTTTTTTTTGTGAGGGAACTTAAATTAAAGCCTACAGGTTATTTGCTCTAGGAAGTTTAGTGTTATAAAAGTGTTATCTAAGTTGAGGCTTTGATGTCTGAATTACTTATAAGTATCAAAGCCACACATGAATTATGCAGGACATCCCCAAAATCATACCCATCTGTGAGTAGGTGGTATTCCAACCTTGCTTCACATAAAATCTATGTGTGATGTGTAATGTCAAACTTACCCCTTACTAAAGTTTGGCATTGCTGATAGCTGGGGCTGCATTAAAAACCTACACTTTTATCCCCAAGACACTGAGGCAGGAACATCCCTAGCTCCCCTCTACTCGAGATTCACACCCACTTCCCTTATACCCTCCTGGAATTAAAGACTGCATCTGCCACAGTGAGTCATCAGGAGCTTACTCATCAGCTTTATGCAGGATTTTAACTCCTGAGAGCAGAACTGGTCAGAAGGATCCTGCATTTCTTGAGGAGTTCCTGGCACACATTCTCTTCACATGTACCACACTAATGTGGCACCTCTGTCAGGTTTAAAATATTATGACACTTTTAAAAGAAAACTGTTTCACCTGTACTCTGCCACCTAGTTTAGTTTTAAAAGATCTTTTCACATATCATTTTTTGAGTATCATATAAAAAATAACTCAGCCTGCCGAAACAGTTTTTTTCTTGGGTTTTATTTTTTTTTTTTAACTCCCCTTGTATAATTTCACCAAGAGCAAGTTCTTATTCTGGACCTTTAATGTATCTAACTCATTTATTTTCCAATCTTGCAGACAGAGAACAGAACGACTTAGTTATTAAAAAGAAAGGTGTTATGACTTTCCCATGAAACACATGGCATTTGCCATTTTTACTAAAATGTCTTGAGGCAGAAAACTTTGAAAAGCTTTTTTTTAATATATAAATGGAGAATATTATAAAAAGTAATGCTATTTTCAGCTTTCTCAACAAATAAGAATTTTAGGGTATTTCAAAGCATGACATAAACTTGGATATAAGACTATTAATTAATCTCACCTCACTTGAGGCTGCTAGAATTGAAACATTAAGATATAAATGACTTGTTCTTTAACACAGATAAATAGGAGCAATTTTAGGGCACAAATCATCTGACCTATTCTAGGCATCTACTTTAGGATAACATGACTCATGCGTTAAAGATGCTTAATTCTTCCTCGTGTATGGAGGGAGCCTATATTTGATGTAGACTTCTACATGACAGAGGTCTAGATAGGACTGCATAGATCCCACCTGCTGCCTTATACATGTGATTGAGCATTTCCCCAGAATGGCTGGTGAGGGCACTGAACTATTAATACAGCTACACAAATTAACACTCAAAAGAAAACTGATGTGATCTCAGCAATGAAAAATGACTGAAAGTCATGATTATCAAACATTAGATTGACTGGAAATAAAGAAAACATTTGTCAAAACAAAACAAAAAGCCATAGGACTCAGGTTAGCTGGATTAATAAAATAAATGTCTACAAAATCAGAAAATTTAAACTGGAGGAATGTATTTGCTTTCTCATTTTAGAGACTGCAGAAAAAAATAGCAGTATTTATGACCAAAAAGATTCCTATAAAAAATTTCCAAAATTAAGCAAGAAAAGGCCAGTTCATCAAAATTTTACATTACAGTAGTGTAAAACGTGCAGTTTAGATGGAAAATTCCTGGAAAACACCAGTGTCAGTGTCACCATGCGATATACAACAACAGTGGGATATTTGACATGGACTTTTCATGGTGTTATGGTATTTTGCAGTATACAGGAATTAGTGAATCACATAAACAAATACTGGCAGAACATGATCTTTGTGATCATCCTAGGGAAGGAGTTATTAGGATAAAGTCAAGTGCATTGACACAGGTGTCAACAGTCTTTTTGAATTCATGTCCTTGTTGGTGATACTTGAAGATAGATAGGGTGATGTAAGTGTGAAAGCTGCCAAATATGTTTGAACTTTCTGTGATGTCTTTATTTGTACATAGCTTGTATCTGCTGATTTTAGTAATGAATTGATTTTCCACTGTGTTGCAAATCTGTCCACCTCAAGAGCCAAAGTGCCACTGATTGAAAGGAGAAAAAGGGAGGAAATCAGTGTTGCCATGTGTGCAGGTGACCACAGAGGCCTCGACGTGGCAAGCAAGTTGTGTGGCAAGGCTTGCAGAACTGCTCATTTTTGAGAACTTCTTTGCCACAGCCAGTGCTTTGCTTCGTGCACCTTCCCTGCCCAAGCACACATGGCTTTGGCAGGGAAGAGGTTTCTGCCTCCTTCATGCTCCCATATTGTCGGTGCTCAGTTGTAGCTGCAGTCTCGGCAAGGCTTGCTAGCAGGCTGCAGGGCATCCCGAAGGCTCTTCCCTTCGCTGATATTTTTCCTCTGTATATAGTTCACTGCCTGAAAGATGAGGCTGCCTCTGTACACCAGCCAAGGCACACTGCTTGACCATCAGCTGGATGCTAATTACCAGTGCCTGGACTGGAGGTGCAGACAGCAGCCAGGTTCTTGCCACCTTGCCAGGCAGGGAGAAGGCGCCTGTCGGCGCCTGCCCAGCCCGGCAGGAGCTGGGTGCGTGCCCCACTTACCGCTCCATGGGCGCTGCGGCAGGCACGGCAGGCACGGCAGCAGCCCGGTGTGCCGTCCCCCCCGACGGTTTAGGTCCGTGCCAGCTCCATGATGGCTCTATGCCCGCTTTCTGGAACGGCCAAAGGCCTTAAAAGCTTTCCCGATGGAAGGGCTTACCTCTCCCTCCACGATACCGTGGCCACCCAGGACATTTCATGCCGAATGGCCCCGAGCCAGACCTGCAGCGGCCACCCGGGGCTGCTCCCCACGGGGCCGCATCGCTGACCCCGCCGGGGCAGGGGGGGCCGGGCGCGGCGGGCCGGGGGCTGCGGGCAGGGGCAGCCGCGCTTGTGCGGGGCTCTCTTGCCCTCTAGCGGGCGAAGCCAGCGGGGCGGCCCCGCCGTGCCCCCGGCCAGCGCTGCCGTGCCGAGCCGGAGCCCGCGGCCCGCTCTGCCCGAGCCCGGCTCCCGCCCGGGACAGCCCCGCCGCACGGCGCCGGCAGCGCGGGCACGGGCCGGGGCCGTGCCCTGGGGCAGGGCTGTGCTGCGGGAGCCGGGCAGCCGGGCTGGGCAGCGCGGCAGGAGCAGCGCTCCGAGCAGAGCGCCTGTCCAGCGCCGCTCAGCCAGCTGCGGGGAGAGCGACCAGCGCCACGGCCCCAGCCAGCAGCACGACGAGCTGACGAACAAGACCGTAATGGGGCAGCCAGAGATGCCATTCGTCTTTGCGATTCCTTCAGCCGGTTTGGTGGCTGACCGTGACCCCATAGCTGCGAACACAGCTACGGATGGGGAGCCAAAGGGGAGCACGGGGCTGTGCACCCCAGCTGCTGGGTAAGCATCGTGTGCCCACTGGTGCTGAAGAAGGGAGCAGTCACTGCGGACAAGGGACTGCCGGGCACGGGCCACGAAGGGACTTGGAGGCAGCCCACAGCTGAGTGGGGTAGAAGTGATGCTGGAGGCCGTGTTTGGGAAAAGAAGGACATCTCTGCTCATGTGGAGTGTTCTGACACATCGCAATTTCAGTTCTTTAAGTTGTATAGTCTGTATTTACTAAGAATTCTCCTTTTCTGCTAATGGTTTAGAAAATATTTCAGTATTGTCATCTCCATAATCTTCCTCCTTCCTGGTTCCAAATCAATAAAAATCTAGTCCTTTCCTACATTATTTTAAGTGTATATGTCCATCTAACAGAACTTCATACATTATCACTAGGAATGCTTGTTTTACAAATGTTTTAGAAAATTTACATGTCTTTTTAAAAACTGGCAGTGACTGACTTTCTTCCTGTAGACTTCAGCTTGACTTTACCACTTTTGCCATTTTGCAAATAAATTTTATACTTTTTCTCCCTGCTCAATTTAAAAATTATTTTCAGTAATATATATTGCATTTTTACTCTGACTGTTGTTGTAACCACTGAACCACAACAGCCTTAAAAGTTATCCTTTTAATGAAATATAGCTTGTTAGCTATCTAACAGAATTCAGAATTTTTCTTCCTCTCTAAGGCTTTTCTACTCTCACTCTAATTTCCCATTTTTGGGGAATCACTGATACCTCTGGGGTCACCATCCTTTCTCGTGATTTCTTGAGGGAGGGCAACGATGAGAAAGTCCTCTGTTTGCTGGTAGTAAATATAGTTGGGTCACTTGGAATGCAGTCACTTGGAAGCCTCCACTCTCTGCTACAGTTATTATAATCCTTTGCATGCCTGTATCTGTTTCATCTGCTTAAATGCTATCCAATTACTTTGTTGATAACTTACATATTTTGCATGGTTTTGCCTGGTGATTTTCTTAATCATTCTGTTGCTATTTCATCAATAACTCAACAGTACATAACTGCACTCTGATTCAGTATTGTGAAGGAACAGAATATAACCATTTGCTTTAAATAACTCTCCTGAATATATACTAATGCTTTCCTTTTGGTTGGCCAAGACAAAAGTATCTCTGATTAGAATCTTGCTTGTTTCTCCTGAACTTACTGCTTTGACAGCAGGACTGGAAACCCTTCCCTCCTGTACAGGGAGGAAAGGGGGAGAAGCTCTGGAGAAGTCAATAGCTGTGGGGAGCCGAGCTGCAAGATTCCTAAGCCATTCCCCACAGAGGACTGCCATCTTCTGTTTAAGCCATTTATGTTTGCCCAGCCTAAGTTTTTAAAAAAACTGGGATAAAAGATGAAGGGGGAAGAGAAGGGACACACTGTACAAAGTGCTATTGGTGTAATCTTTTCATATGCTGTTGTGCGCTACCAACAATATTTTCTATGGTGTCCTATTTGCTGGTGAAGAATTGGAAATGTCTGTGATGTTTATCTAAGATATTTCAGATAAGGAGTTTTTCTACTCCAGATCTTTGCCATCAACAACTACAGCCCATGTTTGCTGTTACACAGGGAGGGAGTTAATGGTAATAGCTGCCTCTTCTAGGTCTAAAGCTAATTCAGGCTTACCAGAGAAGGATAAAGAAACTAATAGTGGTTCTGAGCTACTATACAGCCCTCAATGTGACTCTCCCTGCCTCTCTCTGGATTTCAAGGCACTGGTTTTATGAGGGTCACCAAAACACCTCTGAGTACCAGGTTGTATCTTTATCCATTGCTGGAATATCTCCTCCCTGAGGAGGAGCAGAACAAAAAAGAATCTCCATTCCTTTGGCCCCACTCCTCAAAATTCATGCTGGTTTCCACGTCCTACCCTTCATTTCTCAGAAAAAAATTGTCAAGGAGATGAAAAGCTCTCTAATAACAAGAATTTGCTTCTCTGCCTTCATGGCTGCTCTTGACAAAAAACAGCTTTTCCACCCTGTTGTTTAGATTTCATCAAAGTTTGCAAACCTCAAGTCCACCCTAGGAATTTTAGTCCCCTCCCAGAAACTGTTAATCCAAGAGAGCTTAGAAATCCATGAGAGGATCTGAAAAACACATCAGCGCAGGGAATCCACAACTAGGATTTCATGCCAGAAATAGGTACCGCCTGAACTACTTTGCTTTTTCTAGGCATTGCAGTGAAATCACTGACAGGCAATGGGGAAATAAATTGTTCAGGAGGTTCCTATGCTTCCTCTGCTTTAAATATTGCTCTAGGTTTGAGGAGGAGAATGACAATTACTGTCAAGGATTCTCAGGGACTGACTTTATCACACAACTAAGCAGTGAAAACTCATTTCTGCAGATACGAACAAATTGGCTGTGACTACTTTGTCTTTACTGCAGTAGCACTGCAGCCAACAGAACTAAGCATGCAAATGTTGAGACATCAGGCACACATCTAGTATTAAGTATTCTGCTTTTTTTAATGGGGCACAGGCTTGTGAAGAAACACATGGCAAAACTGAAGGAAAATTATCCTGCCAAACCTCATGTTATGCTATTTGTATAATTCTTGATATGAACAAGCAGAAGGAATTTGCTTGAACTTTCTGGAATTCATACTTTGTATTCCTGTAATCATCCGAGCGTTCCAGCTCTGTACATTGGAACCTGGCTCTGCTGCCCTACTGGGGGCTGCTAAGGAGAGCTCTGATATACCAAGTTTATAAGCTTGCTCCTTTGTCTCAACTAGATGTTCTCTGGTTGTGTCTTCCAGTGGAGTGATGGTGATGACACTGCAAACCCTGCTCTTCAAAAAAAATTGGAGCAAACTCCCACCTTAGGTAAGCTATCATAGCACCACTCTATTGCTGGGGCTTTAACAATTGATACAAATGCAAAACAAGCAAATTTGAGTATTTTATTCCTTCAGGTAAAAATTCCTTTTATAGTTCATCACTGCAAACACTCAGAATTTGTGGGCCATTCTCAGTCACAGTTTACATAATTAGGAAGCTGTGGAAGTCATCATAGAAGGACAGATGAAAGCAAAATCCAGGTACACCAAGAACAGGGAGATGAGTCAAAGATCCAAGAACTCTGACATTTGCAGAGTCATGCAGTGAATTTCTGGAAAGACTGTTTGCAGTGCAGGTGCACAAAATACGTGACCCTCAACTGTAAAAGTGTGAGAACTGAGTGTTTAGTAAACGTTCTTGAACAGTCCTCTCTGTAGATTTGATTGTCACTAAATTTTTCCCACAAGCAGATTTTGGTCCAGTAGCCCCCATATTTTATTTATAATTTAGGTCATATGCTGCTTACATAATTTTTTGTCTAGTCATTTAAACCATCTTTGCACAGTATTCAGACAAGAGAAAATCTTGGGAGTTATTATTATTATATTTTCCATTTTCTTTGGATTTAAGCAAAGTCTATATATTGCAGAGTCTATGAAACACTTCAAATTTACTTTGAAACTTTACTTCAATGCTACTGAAAAGTTGAGGCATTAGAGTTGTCTATGAACAGTGAGAATTAAGCTCATTTCTTAACATTTCTGAAAGGTAAAAATAAATCTGTAAGCATTTTAAGCAATTTTTAAGCAATTTTAAAGTTATCTCAAACACTCATTTATAACACACATGAATGTCACACTCAAAAAATAACTGTACTGGTAACATGTTTTGAAAAATGTCAGCCTTTTAATAAGGATGTTTTACAAGTGGAGTCTCTCTTCAAGAACAGAGAATCAAAAAACTTCCATTACTGAAATAACTTTAAATTATATATTTAAGATTCTCAGAACTATTCATTGGTGCCTCTTTTTGGACAATTACATTCAAAACCTCTGAGGATGCCTTACATGAGTGCTCAGTAAGTGAAATACTGCAGGAAATACTTGGAGAAAATTAGGTCCATTAAGATCTCTTCATAGAATCATAGAGTTGTTTAGACTGGAAAAGAACCCTAAGATCATTGACTCCAACCATTAACCCAACACTGCCATGTCCACCTAAACCATGACACTAAACTATGTCCCTAAGCACCACATCTACATGACTTTTAAATACCTCCAGGGATGGTGACACCACAACTTCCCACGGCAGCCTGTTCCAACAATTCAGAAGCCTTTCCAAGAAGAAATTTTTCCTAACATCCAGTCTAAACCTACTCCAGAACAACTTGAGGCTGTTCTCTTTCACCCTATGACTTGTTACTTGGGAGAAGAGGCCGACCCCCACCTGGCTACAGCTTCCTTTCAAGCAGTTGTAGAGAGTGGTAAGGTTGCCCCTGAGCCTCCTTTTCTCCAGGTGGAAAAACCCCAGCTGCTCATCATCAGACTTGTGCTCCAGACCCTTCCCCAGCTCCGTTGCCCCTCTCTGGACACGCTCCAGCCCCTCAATGTCTTTCTTGCAGTGAGGGGCCCAGAACTGAACACAGGGTTGGAGGTTTGGCCTCACCAGTGCTGAGCACAGGGGGACGGTCACTGCCCTGCTCCTGCTGGCCACAGCAGAGCTGACCCAGGCCAGGATGCCATCGGCCTTCTTGGCCACCTGGGCACACCCTGGCTCATGTTCAGCTGCTGTTGACCCAGGTCCTTGTCCACCAGGCACCTTCCCAGGCACTCTGCCCCAAGTCTAGAGTGTTGCATGAGGTTGCTGTGACTCCTCAATGTCTTTAATATTTAATTACATATATCCTAAGCAAGGATAAGGATTCCAGTACCTGAGGTTAAGCTCCCACTGTTTAAAATTCCTGGCCTCATTTTTTTTTGTAGTGAGATCACACTTCAACTAATCTGTGGCCCTTTTTGCATATAAAAATTTACTCACTTTATACCACTTCATACCTCCTCAGCCCTTCTGAAAATTATGTCAACCCAGACTAACCACCACAGGTTTCCTATTTTATAAGATACACAGACATCACTAAAGATTTTCTATTTCATGGATATACAGCTATGATCTTTGCTCTGGAGTATTTGGGTAGTCACAGGGGTAAATCCTGCCATGTTATGGAGAACAAACATGAGCTGCCAAGAAGGCTAATAAGCATAGTACTTTTTAATTCATAGTACCTCTTAATTCACATGATTCTTAAGCAAACTGAGAAGAAAAGCTGGTGCAGACAACTTGACAGCATGCAATATACAACATGAGACAAAGAACATTTCAAAGTTCAATACTAAATTCTGCCTGTAACTGGCCTTCCCAGCAATTCCTTTCAAGAGTAGTCCTTAGATAAGCTATTCTTGAGTAGAAGGTAAAATTAGATAGTTTTTACATCTTTAAACAGCATTTAAGAACAGAGATCACAGTCTTTACTCTCTTTCTCATTAAACACAGAGCAGTCTGACTCCTCCCCTACACTTTTTAGGTGGGCAGCACAGGCATACAGCTCACAGCTATTGTGTGTTCAGGGGCTTAGGGCTGGCTAACTGTGGCTGCTTTGACCCTCAAGACTTCAGCCACCCTTGAGAGGCTGATAATGTAAATCCTACCTCTGTCCATGGGCCAAAAATATTCAGCAGCAACCTCAAACCTCCTAAGGGAAGATTCACACAAGTGGCTCCAGTTTCAACTGCTTGATGGTATAGAACTACATGAACTTAAGTAGTCTTTCTCTAAGGGGGAATATAAACAGTTCAACTCGAGGTCAGATATGCCTAGAACATTACAAAACATTAATTTACACTAAGCTGGAAAAGAAAAGCTCCCAACATTGTACTCTTTCTTGAATATATTCACAAATGCAGGCTCTTCCTAATGCTGATATTTAGAATACATGTAACTGCTGAAAATTAATGTCCATTAGGCTGCATTTACCAAAAAAAAAACCCCAAAAAAACAAAAAAACAAAACCAAACCAAACAAAAAACTGTTCCATCTTCACTGAGAACCAGACTTGGTATCTACAGACACTAATGAACAAAAAGGCAAAATTCCTGTCTCATGAAAGATGCAGGTCCCAGTCCACCAAGCAAACCAGCAGTTTAGACTGACAGGCAAGGATTTCTCACACTGCAGAATGCTGCCTCATGCTCTTTGGAGGATATCTGTTCCCAGTCACGACAGCCTAGCTGGTTCCCATCAGTTTCAGCATTTGAATGACTGCCTCTGCATGGCAATTACTGTTGAGTCTGCAGAAACTCATCCAATCTCTTTTTGCTGACAGCATAAGCTATGAGATTACATTGTCATGTGAGCTGTTTTTATGTCTTGTCTTCTAGGGATTGTTTTCTCCCTCTGATTGCTTACAATTATTGAAAGGTTCTTACCCTTTCCTGCTTCTTTACTTTTTGAACAAGGTGCAATCAACTCAATTCAATCATCTTTGATCTCATCTCCAGTTCTGCTCTCAGTATGGAGCTATCTCATCAGCTCCACATTTCACTGCTGCCTTGCCTTTCTTCTTAGTCATGCTTTAATGTGGCTGTTTGATGACTAAACTAAGAAATACTTACTCATGTACCATGTCCTCAAGCTCTGAATCACTGAGCATTTAGCATAAAATTCTAGCACTTTGCTCTTAAGAATAATATCCAGAGACTTTGCAGTCTTTGCAGGTATTATGAGATTTCATCGTGTTCCTACCTTTCTACTAAAAGTTCATTTAATTCTTCTTCTGTAACAATAAGATCCTCTTCACCTTTTCATTGAATTTGTCATCTTCAAACTATGAGACTCCTCAGATAACTGTATCTGTAAAACAGGGACTAAATATGAAAATTATAGAGCGAAACCCTGTATCTTCATACTAGCTATGGCCCCTGTGCCATAACGTCTCTGTCAAAACTACCTTCAGCACCAAGGGCTCTGCATTGTAGCACAGACATCTTCTGAATTATCCAGGGGCTAATATCCTCCTCCTCCTCCCATTCATGACATAAGCATTCTCAGTTGTGGAGGGTTAGAACTACAGCAGAGCCAGATGAACAACTGACTTACTGTGTCCTGCCAATGGTGCAGCACATCCACACAGAGACAGTCTCCTTTGCACAAAGTGGTCCACTAGAAATGCTCAAACCTCAAGATCTTCTTTTAATTAAGCTTTTCAATATTAAGCAAAATTTCAGTAATTTTAAAAAATTGTCTTTCTTTGTATTTGTGTGAACATTATTCCCAGTGATTTCTAAGTGGCAATGTACTACCAGGAGAGGAATACCCCATGATGTATCAGTTCTCTGGAACACTTCTTTTTTATCCTTGTTTAACTCTTTTGCCAGTTTTAGCACAGCCAGCAGTCTTTAACAGATGATGGACCAAAAAGAAACATAACTTCAGATTTTAAGTATCTGAAAGTCTGTAGAAGTCCCTGAGAAAAACAAAAACTCTGCTTCATTTTAAATTGCATACACAAAGACAAAAGGCACCTTTGGGAATTAAAAATCTCCACAATACAAATGCAACTGATGTAATCCCAAAATAAGAGGCTGTCTTAACATATATCAATAAATAAAACGCAATCTGTGCCACAAACTTGGTTAAGAGGACTGGGGGGGCCAAGACTCAGAGGAGACTAACATGAGCTACAAGAAAAGGAAAATACTTCATTTTTTGTGTTTCTGTTGGATTGGTTTTGAACAGGCCTTTTACTCAGCACTTCCTGACATGAAACCTTGATCCAGAAGCCTTCCAAGCACAAATCTCATCCAGAATTCATCAGAAACTTGGTGGATGCAGGACTCATGGGATTACGTCTGGTACACCATGTACAGTGGCAAGCACTCACACAAGCATACGAACAGCAGCCTGTCCTTTCTAACAGAAATTTAGAGATTTGTAGGTAGAGTTGCAGTGCTACAGTATAAAGGCACACTCTAAGTCACTAAAAATTCTAAAAAGAAAACACTCTTTCCCTTGAATTGAAGCTTTGGCCTGGGGTTCTAACCTTCATTACAGTTTGCAACATGTAAAAGGAACAGATAAACAGAACTCCTCTTCCTCCTCTCATCATCATAACACCCTGGATCATAACATTCTTAGATATTTTTCAGGCTGCTAATTCAATGCCCACCGGCAATTCTGTTATTTCCTCTTCAAGCACATTTTAATGTTATCACATCTGAAATTCAAGTCTGGTAAATATAATAAATTTGATTATAACTTAGATTCCCTACTTATTAAATTAGCTTATTTTCAGAAACCATGCTGAATCTAAAGGAGAAAAAGCAGCAAATTATACCTGACAGCTTTAATGGATTTATAACTATATGAATAAAAGATGTGATTCATCACAGATAATAAGTCTTGCAAAAACTTTGGGTGAGCTGAGAAAATAATGGTAACAGCTTTGCAAAACTACTTATAATTTAAAATCATCTGAGTGGTGGGGAAAATGTGGCAGACTCTAAGGACTACAAAGTGGTCAAAAGAATCCATTAAATTTGCTCTTGCATAATTTCTCTTTTTGTGTAAAACCACAGCAGTAATTTTTACTTTCATAACTGCTGGTATAAGATCAGGTATGGAGAAACAAGACAAGACACCTTAGTGAGTAAACATCTTACCATTCTCTGATTTGCTACAGGACAGTATAACCCTCACTTTGTACTCACAAGCCTAATACACAGTAGTATTTATTACCTCTGTGACAGTAGAGTTGTGTTTTGTACAGTATCAGTACTGTAACTCCAGGATGCACAGGAGAAGGCAGGACAGAAGACTTTAAAGTCTAAACGCACTCATGTAGAACATCCACTATTTATTCTGGCTAAGCTGTTTCTAAGGGTAGGGGATAAAGATGATGAATAAGGCAGTTTAAGTTCTAGGCCATCATATGTATGTAAAAGTACAAAAGGTAGGTTCTGGACTGAAGTCTGAAGTTTTGCTAGTTACTTCAAGCATCTTAAAATCTTAGAGATTGTCTCAGTCTTAGGGAATACATGGGATTTTAAACTTGTATCATTATATACAAAGGAATTAGAATAAGGTGCACTAAATAAGGTACCATTATATACAAAGGAATTAGAATCAGGTGCAATAAATAAGGCATAAAGTTAATGGCAGTGGTTCCCACCATGCTTTAGACATTTTTTCTTACATCTTCTTGCTACTTGCTTTTATTGGACCATAGTCTGTTCTGTCTCTTCAGAATGTAAGTTACAACAAATTAGAATCAGTGGAGTTATAGCTAGGAAAATTTTAAAACTACTAAGGTGGATGTAAGAAAGTGATGAGTAGCAGCATCAGACTGACAGATATCCTTGAATTTAAAATCAAATGTGGACACCAAAAGTTTGGTAATGCAGAATTTTTTATTTTAATTTGCAAAATGTGGACCAAAAACTGTTTAAATAAAGTAATATTTGCAGAAACTGTGTTACAAATAGCACCTGCCTCTGGGGATTATTTCCAGCTCTGTCACTGCCTTGTTTTAAGATTTTAGATGAGTCATTCCAGCCTAATGTGTTCCATGGTACAAAAAAAGAAGGTAATCAACCTCTAGTGACCCTCCATGGATGCTGTAACACCCAGCTCTTGATAAGGTACCCTGACCTTTCAGAGCAGTAGAGTCCCCTGTTGCTCTCCCTGCAGGGATTCTGGTACCATCCCAACTATGGTATCCCAACTCAACCATCCAAGTTGAGTTTCTGGCAATCAGAAAGTAAACCTAGCTGCTGAATACACCAGTATTACATATAATAAAACAGAAATTATATAAAAAGAGATTGAGGTGGAGAGTACATTAAAAGAAGAAGACAAAAGAGATTCCATGAGCGTTAAGTCATTTAGATACAACTTAATCTGTAACAAAAATGGCTAGCCTACAATTTACTCAATATAATAATGCAATACTTATTCCTCAAACTTGCCTTCCATTTTGTCCATCAAGGTCTGACAAGAGCAGTGGTCTCGTCGGGTGCTGAGATGTTACCAGCACTGAGACCACCGTTCAGGGTAGATTTGGGGTAAGGCCACACCATGATAGTCCCTGGTTTCCAGCAGGTTACCCACAGACTCTTCTGCTCCTCAGTGCTTCACTGGTGTAAGCTTCCTGGAGCTTCTCAAGGTTTATGGAGTGGGAGGCTCCTGACTGACCTAAGGTCCTCTAGAGTGAAAATGGCACTTTCTCTTGCTGATGTGAAGAACAATAAACAGCTTCTGTCATCAGTCACCCCCTCCCTTCTCTCAGAACCCCACCCACCTAAGCAATCTAGCATGGTATGCTGAGCACTCCTAAATGCCTTCAACTACCACAGGCAAGTCGGCAGGCATCCTTTGGAACACTGGATAATCTACCTTTGTGCTCTCTACAAACTCCCTTTGCAGCAAATGATAGCAGTAATGTCTGAACTGAAAGAGTATATATGTATTTTTCATGTAAGTCAAGACACAAAATAGACATAAATTTCATAAGACATAAATTCCAGTGCTCCCAAATACAGATGTTCATAAGCCTAGTAACAAGTTAGTACACAGGGAGGGAATGAGGATATCACAACTTCTCCCATGCAACATTCTTCCTTCAGTTGCACCTTGAAGTAACACATCTCTGCTTTCATCTGTCATCAGGGTGGCACCCCATAATCAAACTCTATCTCCTTTGTTGCCAACTCTGACAGCATATGTGCCCAGCAAGTTTGATATCCAGATCTGAAAGAGTTCATTTCCAAAAATCTCAGCAGAAACTAGACAGAGTAAAGAAAAGCAGTTTACAGTGTAGACATTTACAGCTGCACAAAAATAATCTCTGTTCCCCTTACAGTCAGAGAGACTGATATGGGTATTTCTTTGCTTGAGATTCAACTGAGCCACTTCAACAATTATCTTGGGATGAAACAACTCATTCCATAGATGAACACCTACCCCATTAACAAGAGCATAAGATGATAAATTCAGATACAGACACCTATATGTAGACGTTTCTTTTTAGTGGGATGAACCTTACCCATGTCTTACACACCTCTGCCCTTTTACACAAACCTCCTTCACATGTTTTAGTTCCACCAGTCTCTTCTGCTCCTCAGAAATTAGGTTACGGCTGATTTGCTGTGGATCCTCTGGACTACTTCAACTAAATCTCTCCATTATAGACCAGCCACAGAGTGTCTCCACCTAAGCAGCAGGAACAAGAGACCCATAAGCAATAGAAATGCCTTGTGAGCAGAAGATTCGCTAAGCCTTGTGAACATGAGACAGTTTGTGTGTCAACTTTTTGCACTCGGCATAGCTCATGCCTTCTCGGGCACATGCAATTCTGATATTCCAGAATACCAACCCCTTCAAGTCCCCTCAAGACCTTTCACTTCTCTAGAAAAAGGTTATATAATGGCTTGGAAATCCTCTCTGGGTGTGCTCAGCAAAACAGCTCCTGCCTGACAACTGCCAAATGGGGACTGTCAACTTTATCCATAGCTTTGTCAGGGACTTTTATTAGTGCCATTGTTACTGTGCTTTTGTGAGTGGATCCAACAGCAGCTTTGATGCAGCTACAGACTGAGGATCCCTCACCAGCAAATATATCAAGACTGCCCACAATATTCACACAAATAGTAAAGCTGTTTTTCAGCTCTGCAAGTGCCAAATGCAGACATTTATGGAAAAAGATTCTGCTGACTACAATGAACTTCATATTAGGACTTCCAAGTTTTTTATGAAAGGATCACAGAATCTTTTATAGTGAAGCTGTATGTCTATCACACGCTCATTCTATTAGGTTAGATAATACTAACCAACTAAACACATACATGGAAAATAATCATGCCTTCCCTCTGCTTATACAAAAATAGGTGCTTATACAAAAATAGGTGCAATCACAGCTCATAAATAGTATTCTGAGCAAAAGAACAAAACACCATTTGAAATAATGGAATACATTACAGAAAACAGTAATTTAGAGTTTTATTATTCCTTTATTTTTCACAGAAATTATATACACTTCACCATCTTCAGTAGTATTAAGGATGCGATAATTAAAGTAACTTTCATTAATAAATCACAGTAGCAATGCAACATGTTATTAATAGTTGCTTTAGACTGCGGTCTGTGAAAGAAACAAGAAATAAATATATGATGCTAATCTACTTCAACATTTCCAGAAAACACATATTTAAAAAATATTTTACAGGTTATAATACTGATAATTCTATAATTGTTTCTTTGGTAATACTGTGAAGTAATGCCTTGCCATCTTTATAGTATTTTTTGAACTACATAATAATAGTTATTTTAAATTATATCAGTTTCAGTAACATTGCTTTTAAAAACATAAAGTCAGAGTCCCTAATAAATCCTTCTGGTTTTTCAGGTAACACACTTAAAATTAACTTTGCTAATCTTGACATGTTTTATTGTACCCTTACATACAATTTCTATCCCTCTCTCTTTTTAAGTACAGAATCTATACAACAGAAAGTCTTAAGCAATCTTAACTATAGTTATTGCTGCCAACTCTTCCTATAAAACTCAGGCTGAAATAGTGGTATAATTAAAATTGATTGCAATGCTCACACTGATTTCAGAGAATGAAAGAAAAGAGAAACACTCCCTGAAATACAACAAGGTCCCAGCAACACAATTCTGTATTTACATAGGAATATTACACTGGTAATAAGATTTCGGGAAATCCTATGATTAATATAGGCAAAATACATATATAAATTTGCATATATTTGTATGTATATAAAAAGATAGGTTAAAGGTCAAAATGATAGGATTTCACTTACCTATAGGTCTCTCTTTTTGAGACCTAGTGCTAGCAGCACTGCAGAAGAATGTTTTCAAAGGAAGAAAAAATAAGGACAACTTGTTCAGCTGAAAACGTGAGGAGAATATAAGTGCTAAAATACATAATGTAATTCCATTACTTAAAACATTTTCAGGGGACTTCTATTATTGTTGCAAAAGTGCCATGGGATCTTATCATTAAAAATAGCAGTTGAACTACTGTTCACATCTAATAGCAAAAAATCTTGAATCTTCAAAGATTTATGTATACAGTTAATTTTATGCAGTTGAAATGGTCTTGCTTCAGAGTACAGAATTTTTCAAAGTGCTTAAAATTAGGCATACTATCTGAAACTTGTCACAGAACTGAGACCTATGGCCTTACTTAGAAAGTAATAGCAAATAAACTTTTCAAATTTAAAAAATGAATATTCCTTCACCAAAGAATATCAGTTTTGATCTGCCTTTTGTAGTCACATTAATGCTTAAACAGTCTGTGTGCCATATCTTTAATAAATCAAATATTTATCACAAAAAGGTCACTGTGAACTTAGAAACTGCATTTAAAAAACTTTCCAATTCCATTACTGTTATCTTCCATTCTCATATTTTTTTAAGTAAGAATTTTGCTTTCAACCTTTCTTCTCTGATTTTCAACTTCACTTTAAAAAAGTAATTCTG